TTATTGTTACATGAGAAAATGAAGTCTCTCCACCGGTGGAATTCATGAACATGTGCAGCGGGCGTTTGCTGACCTCTTGTGGCTGCAGTTTGTATCTGTGACCCTATCTCGCAACTGTATGAAATCTTTTTTTTTCCATCAGACTTTACAGAGAGGACGCAGGAAATGAATGAATGTAGATATGTACTACAACTGGCTACACTAAATCCCCTTGAACGTCACCTATCTCACCTAAACCAACATCCAACAGCGACACAAACTGATCAGCCAGTGAATCAGAATGTGCTTAAATGACTTTAAGATGATGTGTTGCTTTTTTACTGGTACTAAACATAGACAATTATTTTAAATGTCATTAATTATCAACTGCATCTTGTATTGACCTCACATAACCTTACTATTCTTGTGTCTTTAAAATAAGATAGATACTTTATTGATCCCGAAGGAAATTCAAAGTTTGGCAGCAGCATCATAGCAACATAGCAGTCCATTCTCTTGCATTCATCATTTATAGAGGTGTGTTGTAAAGACGAATGGCATGTGGGACAAATGACTTCCAGAGTTTATTCGTGGAGCAAGACAGAGACAAGAGCCTGTCCCCAAAGATGCTCTCCTGTCAGGTGACGGTTCAAGGCGTGCTGGGGGTTATCCACAATGGACAGGAGCTTTTTCAGGGCCCTCTTCTCAACTACAGATGTTAGTGAGTCCAGCTTCGCACCCACTACAGAGCCTGTCTTCCTCACCAGCTTATCCACCCGCATCAGCAGTAATTGCAGGATAACTCAACCATGCATGAATCCATTGAATGAATCCAAGCCAAAACCATTATAACACATTTAAAAGCCCATAAAAACATTTTCTGAATATTAAAATCACTGGCTTTTAGTTGTTAATTGCACTAACAGTTGAGTACCCATGGAGTGACCTCTGTTGGGAAGACAGAGACAGCCCAAACTGTCTGACATGTTGGAGTGTTTTGCAGGTGGTTTGGATGACCTTTGACCCCTCAGTCATCTCCGAGGCTTACCCAACCGTGGCAGTCTATCATTTACCCAGCGGAGGTCCCAGTCTGTTCGCACACACTTGACCCGTTATTCACTCGGGACTGTTTTAACCAGTTATTTGTGTGGACTACATCATATCAGCATGAGACGGGGGTATTGTGTGAACCGGGAGCCGCTGGAGGTCAGAGGTCATGGGCTCCACGGGGAACCGGTCTGCAGCATCGTCAATGTCAAAAATGTCACAAAATCATTGAGGTGAGTCTATGGTGAGATCTCAACAGAGGATAAGAAGATGGATGGTGAAGAATTGTGTTAGCATTTTATCACAAAGTTGCTTCATATTGATCAAACTACTAAATAATAAAGGGAAAATAGCGAGCACTCACTGTTTAAATGTGGTTCTGGATATACACTATTGTAGCTATCTGCCAATGAAAACATTACTTTACATTACATAACATCCACATTTTGTCCCAAACCAAAGTAAATCAAACTTAATTTTTTTAGGATAAAGAAACTGTGATACTGGGTTCAGATTATTAACAAATTTGAAGAATTAAATTGAGAATAAAGAACAGTACATTTCTGATTAAATTTTTGTAAAGGTGAAACCGAAATTATACATCTGTGAAACTGAAATTATACATCTATTGTATTATAGTTGATATGATTCATAAAGATGTCCAGTTTGAAAGAACCAGTGGAAGTTTTCTTTATTGATTAGAAGGCTGTTTTTCAAGCTCCCTGGTTCAAATAGGAATATATCTTGCACAGTGTTGTGTTAATTTAACTATATTTTCAAATTTTTATTTATCTAGATTTTTGAGTGACTATTTCTTTTCTCCTGCTGTTCATAAACTGTGCGTTGCAACAGGGACTTTCCCCATTGTAAGTGAAAAGAGTTCTCTTAGAGGTTCTGTTAGCGTTTGCATCACTTTTTACCACAGCACTTAACAAACTTAATATCTGCACATATTAATAAAACCTATAGAAAATCCGTACATGGTAGTAGCTTGGGGCTTGCTGTGGTGTGATCCTGTGGGTGCTAAATGAATACATGTGTAATAACAGTGATTATCATAGTAGATGCACATCAGTGTATGGACCTCATAATTCAAAATGGAAATGAAAAGATTTCCTTAAGCACTTCGGTAGTCATGTTTTATTCATGGGGTGGCCTGCAGGTTAGCGTTCTGCTGCTCTAGCGTGGACTGTGGTGGGAGGCTGGGGACTGAAGACAGGGCTGGGTCCTGAGTCAGCCCCCCTTTGAACCAAAACATATGCAGATATGGCTTCTGGGAACCTCTTGGCTTTGACTGGAAACTACCGCTAAAAGCTAACTGCTCAGAATCAAGGCAACAGCAGAATCTTCTGTCTGAGATCAACATAACCTAAAATGACATTTCACAAATTGATCAGAATAGTTCTATTAGTTATAGTTATATAATTGTACTGACTACCTTGCTTTAAAGATCCTATATTACACGAAATTTATTCTCCCATGTTACATATCTGGAGTTGTGCTTTTTTCATTCACACATGTTGAGTAACCCTTCATTATTAGTCTGTCCACATCTCTAAATGCCCCGTTCCACCTTGTGATGTCATAAAGCAGTTTGCAGCTACTTTAACTTTAGTTCAGTAAAGATTAGCAATTCCAGGGCTGAAATTTTCCAAATGATTCTAATGAAGGCGTAAGGAGTTTAAAGACACAGTGGAGCACTTCCTGCATTACCACATGACATCACAAGGTGTTTTCAGGTTGGGAGATGAACTAAAATGCATGGTTTGTACTAGTATATGTTAAATGTGTGAATGAAACAAAACACGACTCCACCTATGTTTTTGACGAGGAAACAACATAGATCAGAAAATAGTAACAGAGGCCCTTTAAACAAATAATAATTTGCATATCTTCACACCCTTTGTATAACATCCCTTGCTTGTTTTCCCCCAATCTGTAGTATACTCTGAGCCAACTAAACTGACCATCACAAAGCCAACGCAGCAGGCTGCAGCAGTGTCAGTGTTTGGCCCAGGCTTTAGTCTGAGCTGTCCACACAAGAGGGATGAGCGGCCGCATGCTAATCTCGCCAACAGGGGGCTTTGTCTCACTACAGTGACTAGAGTCTGTATTAGAAGGCCAGCTCTCGAGAAACCCATCTACAGTAAGTGTATGTGTAGTCCTGTTTCTCCAAAGCATCAGTCAAGGTTAATTAATCATACTGCGAGTGTGATCCCTGATGTAATCTTTTAATAACAACTTCATCCTGAGTAGTAAGTGTCACGCTGCTATGTGTTTATGTACTGTGGAGTCACCATAAGAAGGCCAATGAGCAGGAGATCACTAAGGGAATAAACACCAAAATGTCCTCCTGGATATTAGACACATTTAGCTCCACGGCAACTCCTGTGTGAGCCGTCACTTCATTTCCCACAATGCCAGAGTCACAGGGAAGTCGTACAGGAGACTAATTGGCTCATATGAGGAGCATCAGAGCGTAGCATTGGCAGCTAATTACAGCATAACTGCAGTTTTCCCATGTTGGAGGCTACTTTTATTGCACACGTGACACTGGGCGGACAATAAGATTTCAATGCGCGGATGACCTTCCTGACAATTACTGCAAACAGTAACCATGTTAAGCTCATGAGAAGGTTCTGGGTCAAAGAACTTCAAACATGTTTGAGGAATGATTTCTTCTTGGGTCAATAATTACGTACCTTATGCCAAAGGCTCTTACTGGAGAGGAACCAGCTATCATCAGCTATTACTGGAGTAAACGAGCGAAGATGGAGGAATGAGAAGAGTAAGATACACTCCCTAACTTAACCAGGCATTGAGGTATGTGTTTGAACCTTCTTTGGGCACATAAAGCACCAACAATATTGTTTCAAATAGGCCTAATATTAGGACAGTACTGAAACAGGTCACAATCTGGTGTACTACTGTATACTGCAAATTCATAACTGTTGATCAACTAATAATATGCTGATTACCTTTTATAGGCCTGTATAAACTGAGGTTTTATTCTAATGGCTGCCCCCTTTCCTACAGGTCCAAGATGATTCAATTACTGTCTAAACCAAATTTAGCACTGAAAATGTAGCTATCTATGCCTACCTATAGCCTGTAGGAATATACTGGTAAATGGTCACATTTTTCTATAGCGCTTTTCCACCTTCAAGGCACTCAAAGCGCTTTACAACAAGGAACCACTCACCCATTCACACACACATTCACACACCAGTGTACGCAGACACTGTGGGCAAGGTGGGTTAAGTGTCTTGCCCAAGGACACAACGACAGCATTCATCTGTGGGAGCTGGAATCACACCAGCCAACCTGTGGGTCAGTGGATCTGACCGCTCAACCTTTGATGTTTATGTTGAGAGCTGGATTCGAACCGCCAACCTTTAGATCAGTGGGGCGAATGCTCTACCAACTGAGGTACTGACCACAATCTTAACAGTTATTCTTAAGTTTATACTATCACCTAAATTTCACAATACGGTTTTAGTCTAATCAATTAGGCAATAGGTTACAAGCTGACCAACAAAAATGTGGGAGAAACGCTGGACTAGGCCCACGTTTGCGCGTGTTACAGCGGTAGCCACGCCCCTGAGGCACAGTGCCCGGTGTGTGACTCTCCCTGAGCGGGCGCAGTGTCGGGCCTGACCGGTGTCAGCTCGCTGCTCATTGGCACCGCGGTAACACGATGGTCATCCAGACAGCAGCCGCACCGCTCCTCCTCACCCCTTGACACGCTCTCTCGCGGCTCTCAGCCCATCTAAGAGGTAAAAGAGGGTCTTTTCAAGGTCACTGCACATTACGGGGGACCGAAATAGTATCAGCCACCGACAAAAGGAGCAGTGCGTTCCAGCCAGCCGGTCCGTAAATCCTGCTGCATTCGCTGGTGGTAAAACTATAAAGGCTCATTACTAATATTAATAAGTATGCCACACAATACAGTAAATAAACCAGCAATCGCCAGATAGGATATAACATTTTATTTGGTTAAACACAATCAGTAGTTTTACACTATCTCTAGTAGTTTGAATGAACACAGTGATTGGGAAATGATCACATTTTACATTTATTAATGCAGAAATAACAGATTTTTTTTTTTTTTTTTTTTGATGAATCTGCTTTTATACTATTTAAAATTACACACTAAATATTTAAGAGCATGCGTGATCAGAGCAGACTATGATTAGCGTTTGGTCCATACAATAAGATGAAAACAAAAAGTATAAAGAATAGAAGAATGTTTCCTGCCCTCTAGTGGCAACAGCAATATATACAGCAAGTAAGATATAAAAGATATAAGAGTTGTAAGTACATAACATTGCACTAGAGAAAATGTAGAATACCACAAAAGCAGCATTATCTATTATGATTTCTTACACTATTTTTAAATGTGGCTATATTTTACACAAAGTATAACCCATTGTAAGATATAATAATTGTAGAATATAAACTATAATTGTGTTTCCATGCATTGTCTTTGATATTATTTTGTAGCGTTGTATACCTTAGTGTGTATTCAGTTAGTTAATGCATAGGTTTCTTTGTTAGTGCTTGAAACAGCATTCAGATTTAAGTTTGCCTTGAAATTACAGCATACTTAAGATTTCCACGAATTCCACTTAGGCCTGTCACAGTAATGAATTTTGAAGCACAATATATTGCTACAGAAATATACTGCGATAAACAATAATATTGAAACTACTTAATGCCCCTGAGACAATAAAAATAATGCAAGATAATGCCAGTGAATCATTTCAAATATACTGTATCATTAAAAGACATGAGCTACAACTACATAGCAGAAATTATAATTACCCAAAGAAGAAATCTTATTGTATTACTTAAAAAATGACATAGATTCTTCCTATATTGCAAAAAAAAATCACACCCACGAGAAATATTGAGCCCCAAAAGAGATTTTTCCAGCTTTCATATACTGAACTACAAGTCGATATAGTAATTATTGTGACAGGCCTAATTCCAACTGCACTATCATGGAAGCACAACTACAGTCAATTTATATATATTATATATATATACATACATAATATTTTCTGTATTATTATAATATTAACAGCAGTGGTACAGTTGCTGGGCCTATGGTGCACCGATTTAAAAAGTAGATTTTGCCAATGTAATGAAATAATGTTGCCAGAAAATGTACCCTGCTGTGATATAAATAGGTATGAATATTATTATTTTATCATATTATTATTTAACATGGCTCATGCTTTATGGTGAGCGTCTTCATCCCCATCCTGTACAAAAAAATAAATAAAAAGAGAGAAATATAACCAGGCGTGTGATAACTGCTTGAAGGTGCACTGTGTAACATTTCTAGAGCTAGGTCGGTCACCTGCTTGTCTCCATGGAAATGTTATTGCTTTGTCTAGAATGTTCCACAGTGTAGATTAAACATATCCATCACAAGGAAGACAAGCAGGTTACAGCACTACACTACATTACAGTTCAGATCTGTGGAGAGTTTCCCCTTTCACAGAAGGAATTGTATTTTTGAGCAAAGAGAAACGCCAGTAATGAAGAAATGCGTGATGGAAATGTTTAAAGTCATACTAGTGAACATTCCAGGGAAAGCAATAACATCACCATGGACAGTAGCAGGTGACGGACCCTCTACCAGAAAAGTTGCGCAGTTCACCTTTAAATATATTCATAGGAAGTTTTTTACTTACAGGTGGTTCATTGCTGTTGATGCCCGGGCCTAAGCTGTCCACCAGCGTTAGGCACTTGTCTCCTGCTGTCTTGTCAGTTGCCTCTTTTTCAGCAGATCTGGACAGAGAGACAAAAAGAAATGAAAATGGACCATGTGCAAAAATTGACCCACGTTCTTTCGGCTGGACAGCGGTGGTTGGGTGTTTTCCGTTTCTACACAAACTCCTCAAAACACGGCCGGGGATGGAGGTACTACCCATGACAGCTGTCTGAAACTTCAGCAACAGGCAGAATGAAGAGGTAAGCTAGCAGACTCCCCAGTGATATGCATTTCTGTCTTTTTCTATAAACTATGTCAACCTAGGCTGCGTTCCTAGTGTAGTCCTGATTTTCTCCTGGTTTAACCATTTGTAGTCCTGATTTAGTCCTGTTTTAGTCCTGTTGTAGTCCTGTTTTGGTCCTGTTGTAGTCCTGATTTAGTCCTGATTTGGTCCTGTTGTAGTCGTGATTTCATCCTGTTGTAGTGCTGATTTAGTCCTGATTTCATCCTGTTGTAGTCCTGATTTAGTTCTGAGTTGGTCCTATTGTAGTCCTGATTTCATCCTGTTATAGTCCTGATTTAGTCCTGTTGTAGTTCTGATTTAGTCCTGTTGTAGTTCTGATTTAGTCCTGTTGTAGTCCTGATTTAGTCCCGGTCTATTTCAGTTTTAGACCCAGTTTTGGTGTGTTGTGTGTGCAAGTTATGGTTGGGCCCTATCATGTTGTTCATAATGTATTGTAGCTTTGGGGTGATATAAAATGCTAATGTTGCGATATGCGTGGCCTTTGCTTCCTGTTTACTGGCACCGGTTTACTTCTCTTTCTATGTGTAGATTTGTTAATCGTTATGGCAACTGTGTTAATTTTTCATCATAAACATTGATTGTGGAGGCTTTGCAAATGATAAGTTTAAAAGCCAGACACAAGTTAGTAATAATAAAGTGAAGGCCACCGTTTTCAAATGTTTTGTCTAGACTAATTTTTCATTATTATGTAGTTATGGCTAATTTCTTTTTTATTTCAGTGTATAAATGTTATGCCATTTTGCCCAGCCCTGTAGTTTAGAGAACAAAAGAATAAGAAATGTGATTAATTTTTAAGATTTAGCTTTTACCCTTGCTTGTGAGTTGAAAGGCATCTGTTGTCCATGTCACAGATCAAACTAGGTTGAAGAGTCGGGTTCCCATTGCTGAAAAAACAATTTGTGGACATATAATGTACAATTTCATAGACTTGTTTTAAATTGTCCTGTTGTAGTCCTGATTTAGTCCTGTTGTAGTCCTGATTTAGACCTAATTTGGTCCTGTTGTAGTCCTAATTTGGTCCTGTTGTAGTCCTGTTTTAGTCCTGTTGTAGTCCTGTTGCCGTCCTGATTTGGTCCTGTTGTAGTCCTGATTTCATCCTGTTGTAGTCCTGATTTAGTCCTGATTTGGTCCTGTTGTTGTCCTGATTTAGTCCTATTGTAGTCCTGATTTAGTCCTGTTGTAGTCCTGATTTAGTCCTGTTGTAGTCCTGATTTAGTCCTGTTGTAGTCCTGATTTCGTCCTGTTGTAGTCCTGATTTCGTCCTGTTGTAGTCCTGATTTAGTCCTGTTGTAGTCCTGATTTCGTCCTGTTGTAGTCTTGATTTAGTCCTGATTTAGTCATAATTTAGTCCTGTTGTAGTCCTGATTTCATCCTGATTTAGTCCTGATTTGGTCCTGTTGTAGTCCTGATTTCATCCTGTTGTAGTCTTGATTTGGTCCTGTTGTAGCCCTGATTTTGTCCTGTTGTAGTCCTGATTTCGCCCTGCTGTAGTCCTGCTATAGTCCTGCTTTAGTCCTGCTTTAGTCCTGCTTTAGTCCTGCTTTAGTCCTGCTTTTTGACCCAATTTTAGTGTGTTGTGTGTGCAAGTTATGGTTGGGCCCTATCATGTTGTTCATAATGTATTGTAGCTTTGGGGTGATATAAAATGCTAATGTTGCGATATGCGTGGCCTTTGCTTCCTGTTTACTGGCACCATTTTACTTCTCTTTCTATGTGTAGATTTGTTAATCGTTATGGCAACTGTGTTAATTTTTCATCATAAACATTGATTGTGGAGGCTTTGCAAATGATAAGTTTAAAAGCCAGACACAAGTTAGTAATAATAAAGTGAAGGCCACCGTTTTCAAACGTTTTGTCTAGACTAATTTTTCATTATTATGTACAATTTCATAGACTTGTTTTAAATTGTCCTGTTGTAGTCCTGATTTGGTCCTGTTGTAATCCTGATTTAGTCCTAATTTGGTCCTGTTGTAGTCCTAATTTGGTTTTGTTGTAGTCCTGTTTTAGTCCTGTTGTAGTCCTGATTTAGTCCTGATTTAGTCCTGTTGCCGTCCTGATTTGGTCCTGTTGTAGTCCTGATTTCATCCTATTGTAGTTCTGATTTAGTCCTGATTTGGTCCTGTTGTTGTCCTGATTTAGTCCTGTTGTAGTACTGATTTAGTCCTGTTGTAGTCCTGATTTAGTCCTGTTGTAGTCCTGATTTAGTCCTGTTGTAGTCCTGATTTAGTCCTGTTGTAGTCCTGATTTCGTCCTGTTGTAGTCTTGATTTAGTCATAATTTAGTCCTGTTGTAGTCCTGATTTCATCCTGATTTAGTCCTGATTTGGTCCTGTTGTAGTCCTGATTTCATCCTGTTGTAGTCTTGATTTAGTCCTGTTGTAGCCCTGATTTTGTCCTGATTTCATCCTGTTGTAGTCTTGATTTAGTCCTGTTGTAGCCCTGATTTTGTCCTGATTTGGTCCTGTTGTAGTCCTGATTTCGTCCTGCTGTAGTCCTGCTTTAGTCCTGCTTTAGTCCAGTTTTAGACCCAGTTTTGGTGTGTTGTGTGTGCAAGTTATGGTTGGGCCCTATCATGTTGTTCATAATGTATTGTAGCTTTGGGGTGACATAAAATGCTAATGTTGCGATATGTGTGGTCTTTGCTTCCTGTTTACTGGCAACATTTTACTTCTCTTTCAATGTGTAGATTTGTTAATCGTTATGGCAACTGTGTTAATTTTTCATCATAAACACTAACTGTGGAGGCTTTGCAGATGATAAGTTTAAAAGCCAGAAACAAGTTAGTAATAATAATAATAAGGTGAAGGCCACTGTTTTCAAATGTTTTGTCTAGACAAATTTTTCATTATTATGTAGTTATGGCTAATTTCTTCAGCCCTTTAGTTTACAGAGAGAAAGAATAAGTAATTTGATTAATTTTTAAGATTTAGGTTTTACCCCTGCTTGTGAGTCGAAAGGCGTCCGTTGTCCATGTCAGAGTTGAAACTGGGTTCAAGAGTTGAGTTTCCATTGCTGAAAAAACAGTTGTGGACATACACTGTACAATTTCATAGACTTGTTGTTGAATTAATTGAATCACTATCATGTTAATTTTTTAAAACAACCTTACACAAGATAATAGATAGACTTAATGGTAACAAATCCACACAAGAAATACAAGAAATTTCAGTGACTGTAGCTGTTGTTGTTGAAATCAAACTTATATATTCTTGTGTCTATCATGTTAATTTGCAGAAATTACCAGTGTCGTTTTGTGTCTTCCTTTCCACCTCCTGGGTCGTGTCCCATGTTTCTAGGAAATTTTAATAAACATATTAGTTCCTATGAAGGAGGACACAATGATGCATACTAGAAAGGAATTAACAACCAAACACTCACCCGTTCTTTTGTGGCAAAACCTCACTGACCTGAGGTACACCTTTGGCATCATTCCTGCAGTTCAAAAATGACAGACCAGTATCACAAAATCTCAAAACTCTCAAAATCTGAAAATCTAAAACTTACTTCATCTCATCAAGGTGACAAAAGTCTGCAATTCCACCATTAGACTCTGTGTTATCACTGTAAAAAACACAAGTAGTTTTTCTGTCATTTAAAATAGCCATTGTAGGACTTAATTAAAGGGCCCATATTCCTCTATTTTCCAATTTATGTTATGATGTTGTTTCCTCATAAAATAGCATCCCTGTTTTGTTTCATTCACACATGTTTAACACAAAAACCCTGAGCACCACTGTTTTTTTTAAATTCCATACACCTTCACTAGAATCATTTTGATAATTTCAGATTTGGAATTGACAATATCTACTGAACAAAAGGTAAAAGGAATCAGTTAACTTCCGCTTCATCATAAGGTGGAATAGAGTATTTTGAGCTTTGGCAATGTAGACAGCACATTAATACAGGATTACTCAAATCTTTGTGAATGAAACAAAGCACAACTCCTGTTATGTTTTTGAGGAGGTAACAATATTGTAACATGGCTTGAAGCTCACAAGTGTAGGTTTTGCATAATATAGGATAGCAGCCATACCTTTTTCCATCCAGTAAATTTTCTAGTTGGTAGTTGTGGAGATTTTCACCATCACTGTTAAGAAAAATAAATGCATTGAAGTTGTTTGGTATTTAAATCATATCTTCAAGGAAGTCAGAGGTGAAAGCTGATTAACTATAAAAATAACTACTATTGATACTATAACTCCTACTGCCACTACTACCACAAGCACCACCACAACAACAGAGACTACAGGGAGTATTACAGAGAAAAGTAATACAAATAAATGACTGACTAATTGTTAGACACTACAGTACGGTCCTGGTTAACTCTAGTTGCTATCACACACTGGCAAGATGTGTAAAATGTCATATCCTTTTTACTGGCTTAAACCACATAAAACATTAGTCATACTATGTGCTGGAGAGTGTTTTTTTAAACTGTAACTGTGATTCCTCAATAGTAGCATACTTTAGTTATTATTCTCACCTTTGATCCACTTGTCTATTGGAATTCCCCTTATTATTCTTGCAGGGACAGTGCTTCTTGCGTTGGTGCAGATAGTCAACAAATCTGTAGCCACCACACCCTTTCCTGTAAATCACATTGTTTCAAGAGAAGGCACCGCAAGAAAAAAAACAAAAAACAATACTCACTTTTTTTGTTTTCTTCGCCAAAAGATAAAGTCCAAAGCTATCAGTACTATCAGTACTATCAGTACTATCAGTACTATCAGTATCATGATTATGCCAAATGACACCCATAAGAGTATGTCCACATTGCCTGAAGAATATAGTAATATTGTAACATGTTTTAATAAATCAAAACTACAGTATATAAAAATGGTGGAGCAGATTCACTCACAATTGTTGGCCCACTTATAGAAAGTGGAACATTTCAGCCCAGTGGAAACATTCGAGGCTAATTAAATGACAGATAGGATCAATGACCAAAAGTTATAGTTGATAGAGATATAGTCGATAGTACAATACTGTCTCACCTGCAGTGATGTAAATCAGGCAACTCTCAGAGATTAGACCCCTCTAAAAATAAATAAAGTAAATAATGTGAAGGTTATTTATTTTGACTAACATCCTCCTTCTGCAAACATGCCCATATTTGGATATTTGGAGTGAGCCATTATGTTCTTTACCTCGTCCTTGTGTATGTATTTCATACGGACATTGCTGCATGTACGTGTTGTTATTGACTTGTTATCACAACTGTGTACATCTTTCACGAAAAAAGTTGCACTTTCCATCTTTCCCACTCGGCAATTTCAATCTATTGATTACAAAACAACTCTTAGAAATAATTGAAAAAAATTAATAAAAAATACACACACACACACACATACACACACGCAGCCACACACATACACGCACACATACACACACACACACACACATACATACACACACACATACACACACGCAGCCACACACATACACGCACACATACACACACATACACACACGCAGCCACACACATACGCACACATACACACACATACACACACACAGCCACACACATACACATACCTCCTTTTGCTTTATTTCAATCCTATTCACAGGAATGCTTTGGTTTCCTAGTTCAATTGGAAAGCTGTATCCACCTGAGTTTTGAATCTCGTTGCATGTAACATTTTTTATAGAGCAGTCTGTAACAAATAAAGCTGTGATAATCAATGTAAATCAGCTTAAACTTCAAGAAATTTTAAACTGCGCAGTAAGTTCGTAAGTCGCATGATACTTTAGGCTACAATAACTATCCAAGAAAGTAAAAAAATGCGTGGCCTTACATACCTCCCCTAGTCATAGTCACAAGAAGCACTTTTGTCAAGAATATAATCGCATGATACTGCTGTAGAGACATTGTCGTACTGACCACACCAAGTTCAGGAAGTGAATGAAACGGCAGCGGGTAACACCAGTTCAGGAAGAGGAGGGATTTCAGGAGCTCAGCTGACAATGATGTAATCAGCTATGTTATCAGTCCATATATGAAATTCAAACAATAAGTTATGTATGCGAATGAGTTCTAGTTAATAAAACATTTAAATGTCCCTTTGCTCTTGTTTTCAAAAGCCACCTCAACACTTAACTTAAGTTATTCATTATTAATAGTTTATTTGTATCTTGTTAGTGGCATCCTTCACTTTTTACCTGTCCAAAGATATATTTTATGTCATTAAACTGTGACTTAAGTAGTTCTAATGGGCCATCTCAAAAAAGACATACATATGGATAAAAATAACTTTAAATAAATTAACATAATTCTAGAACTACCAAAATTTGCCCATATACACATACCACAGTTTGAGAAACACTGAAGTATACCCCTGAAGTCACAAAACACTAAATAAAGCTTTAATCAACCTGACCTAGTACCATCGCTAAACTGCTCTTAAATCTACTCTTAGATTTTTAAACTGCTTTTAAATCTTTCTTTCACGCTTTCACTCTTCACTCAAGTCTGTGTTGTGCATTTTTTGACACAAGGGGAGGCCCTTGTGCTGCTGGTCACAGGGCAGCAGTGGGAGAATGCAGTTAGAAAAGAAATCATAATAGCATTAGTCCTAGTAGCAGTTGTAATTTTGGTATTTGTAGGATAATACTTTGTGTCAACTTTTCACTCAGTAGTTTTAAAACAAACAGAAACACATTTTCTTTGTTTTTCCCCTTGAGTAATAACCCTTTGAAGTAGACTTGAGTAAACATTTTAATCGTTTCTTAAATGTATGTTTATTGTTGTAATATTTGACTTATACTTGATTCTTAAGTGTCTAATATTGTCCATCTTGTCCACATATCTGAACCATGGGGAGAATAGAGCCCTCAGTGTAACTTTGGCTGTCGCCTGCTCTCACAGATCACATGGAACTGCCCTGGTTTTGCATGGATCATTTGAGGTGCATCTTCTCTGGTCCAGTGAGAAAACACAGAGCACATGTGTCACTCAATATGGGCCCCTCACTCCTTCTTCTCCACCACAGCAGATGACCACATAATGTTGTTAACCTCTACACTATTAACAAATAAATTATAATAAGTTTTAATGTACTATAACAAATCAGAGACCTACAACTATATAGCTGCAACTAATATTTGTGACTATTATTTTATCATAATCATTAACTAGACCACAGACTGTAAAGCACATGCCAAAAGACCTTTCATAACAAAGACAGCTGGATTAATAATCAAAATGTCTAAAAATGTAGACAATTTCAGATTTCCCATATAGACTTTCTCTATTACACTTTATTTGTAAATATTATATATCTAGAAGTTCTCTGTCACCATATTTCTTTATGTGATTAAAATGTATTTAAAAATTGCAATGAAAAAATATTCACTGTCAACTACTAAATAATTATTATTTGCCCTAGACGACTATTACTAGAATTGCACTAGACATTTTTGTTAAAGTTTGGTTATGATGTGTTCTTTCTTGAGAATACCCTCTACCCTCGAAGCTAAAGCAGGTTTGGGCCTGTAGTACTTGTGAGGGAGAATGGGAATACCATACTGCAGTGATTTTATCGTGCATACTGCTGTTAAGCAAGACACTTCACTGCCCAATGCGAATGTGGTGTAATGGTGAGTGATTTGCGGTGGTCAGAGGGACGGGCGGTGCAGAGAGGCAGGCTTGGCGCATTCAGTCTACCCCAGGGCAGTTTTGTAATTACTTGTATTTTTATTAGTTGGCTCATCATTTTGTTCTTAGTTAGAATTGCTACACAACAACTTTTGAGGACTGTGTCACTATTCCTTATACATTACATATACAGTGTATTACAGATGGGCATAAAACAAAACGAAAAGAGCCTAAATGGACTGGGCTCTCTGGAGGGGAGGTCTGTCAAAATGAACCAGTGGTCTTATCCATTTTCCATGGATATCAGGTGACAGTGGGAGGCATCCCTCTGCAGCACAGACCCAGTGTAAACAGAGCAGAGGAGTTACGAGGCTTCGAAAACACACAAGAGAGACTGACGCACACATACTCCCACTTACACTGACAAGACATTTAGACAAGCATATACAGTGTAGTCAATGTACACCAAAACATGTCTTCAGAGTATTTATAAAGGTTTACTGATGATAGTCTAATCATGGACTAAAATTAACTACTTAATAAGATTGCTTTTTGCTTTTAAAATGCAGCAGTGATGGACAAACATGTTATTTACATTTTGCATACAATTCACATTTCCAAGGCAACAGACCATGAGCCACTTTTTAAAGATGTACTTTTCTCCACCTGCTTATCTCTTTGGAGATGTTATTGCTTTACCTAGAATGTTCCACTGTAGGGCATTAAATTCAATGACAACAGTTTTTTTTTACTGATCAATATATCTTGAGACAATGTTTTTTGCTCCAAAGACATACTTTTACTTACAGTATGTAACTTTTGGAGGTGGCATGTAAACCATATGAGTCCATGGACAAAGATACGTTTCATTTCATACTGTGTAAGATTAAGCCAAAGGAACATTTCCGTGAAAAGAATCAGGAAAAGGCCCTCCTTCAGGCAATGTAAGTGTCAGGTCTATGGAGATGAAAGCTCGCCCAGAGTAAGGATGCAAGGTTTTACAAAAAAACTAAATAAAAATTACACACACACAAAACACCTTTTTTTTTTTGTTTATTTTTTGGCTAAAAATTTACATACTGTAGCTTTGTGAATTTTTCATTACATAACACCATTTACTATATGTTTTGTCTGTACTGATTTCATTTTACTTGTGTACTTTTCAAACACTAACTGCCCGCCGCAATGCCCACAATAAGAACCAGCTGCCACACACTGTAAATCCAAAAGCAATACTGAACTTACATTCTTGACGTATGGTTGGCTACATGTGTGGGTCCAAATATGCCACAGCCACAAGCTAACCAAAACACTGCGCCCAGACTAGAAGTGTCTCCATTTAAAATTCAGTGCTGTGTTCACACTGTGATGTGGTGGGATAAGATGGAGTAAGTCTTCTCCCAGAGCGGAGACGATTCACAGCGATATTATTCAAGCAGAAAGTGTCTTTGTGAGCCCAGACATAAAAGTGAGTGTAAGGGAACAGCTCGGAGTCACGGGGGGCACCTTCAAATATAATGGTAATAAGTGTAAACCCGCTGTGGTTACATGACTGTCTCTGCTCTGTCCAACGCTACGGCCCACTGCATACATCTCAATATCATAACACATGTCTACAATTCAGAGGAAAAATAACACCTTATAACATTGCTCTTTTTATATGTATATCAACAAGAATAGGCATTACTGTTAACATTTACAACCACAATAAAAGTATTACATTTTTTACCCTCATGCTCACAGTTTCTTTGCATTACTGAGTCACTCTCCATACTGGCACATCAATGGCAATGGCACATCAGTATGCAGTCATCTGAGTTGGGATCAATCCACCAGTATTTTAGTTTATGGGCAAATGCATTAAAACTTAGAGTTGTCAGAAATCAATACCAGATATTAATTGATATGAAACTATTGATACTGGAAAAACAAACAACCAAAAAAAAAAAAAAAATGCAACGCAAAAAAAGGACAGGCTTTGACCTTCTATGAATAGCTTTTTTTTCAGATTAAACTGGTTGTGATCTATATCTGTACCAGTATAAGACTGTTGATAATTACATTCTATTGTCTGAAAAAGTACAGTTTTTTTATTGTCATATCCAAAATCTAAATCGAGTTTGAAATTTTAACATTATTACGACATTACTGTTGCATGGCATATTTACTTCCAAATGTACTCTGCTCTTGTTGATTCTATTCTTTGTCATATTAATCCAAGCCAATCCAAACCACTTTATTTCTATAGCACATTTCATAAACAAAGACTTTCCAAAGTGCTGCACATAGAGAAATTTTAATACAATAAAAACATAATCTAAAAAGAAAAACAACGGAGTAAAAACAAATAAATAAAACCTTAGAACAGACCACGTACATTTTCACTGGCAGTGCTGCAATAGAAACACCACCAGATATGCAGTACATGATGTGTGCTAGAAGGATTTATGGTACACAGAGGTAAAGGGCATTAGCCATTTGAGATGTATAGTGATGAATCTGAAGCTCCGCCCACATCCTGCTCACAAACATCTGATCTGCAGCCTCTCTCCTCTGCACCGACACCTGATCCTGCTGAGAAACTCTTATAAAAGGAATCAAAATCAAACAATCCAATCAGGAACACCTCTGCTCCACAAAGACTCATGGAGGAGGTATCTGGGCTCAGAAACAACACAATGAATGCAGTTAGGCTAGGGTTTTATTAGAAAGAAAAAAGGGGACAGAGAAGTATATTGTGCAACGTGGATAGCTTGTATTAATCTGTTTTCCATGTTCTCCCGGGAGAGATCTCTGTCAGAAAATAAAGCATTCTGTTTGAAACCTGGTTTAAGTTCAGCTAAAATCAAATCAGCCTGGCTACTATTTGAAATGTGTTCACTACTGGGATGGAAAAAGTACTGAAAACTAGTAAAAGTACACTACTAAATATTGACTTGAGTAACAATAAAGTTGTTCAGTTGTACATTTAACCTAATGTTTTTTTGGCCTATTTGTTGTTACTACTGTTAGATCAATACTGCTACTACTTTCTTTCCAACTTCTACTGGTACAACTATTACAACCACAACTACTACTATACTATTACTATACAAACTTGCAGTATAACTTCAAGTACAACAACACAATACAGCTGTCTCTATTAATACTACCATAATTACTATAACAGTAAACAAGTATGTACATTAAAACAATCAAATAATAATATGACGGTCAAATATTTACATCATTATTTATTTGAAAGAAAAATACACAATATGACATGCTTTTTCACCATAAGAATAAACTACACAAGTTGTTATTCACGCTCACAGCAAGTAACAGAAGGTCTAACTGATGTGGGGTGTGTCTT